TGTACATTGCCATATGTAACTGTGCTCTCTCTTGTACCAAATCGGCTTGTTATCCATCCTGCCTGCCAACCCTGAGACACCTGCGGCTCTGCCTGGAGGGAGGCCCTGTTAGGGTGAGCTGTGGGGATGTGACCACGTCCACACCAGAGGCTGGCCTAACCATAGTTCCTGGGCCTCACCTCCTGGCCAGCTCTGTCTGCCTCGCCAGGGCTCTGATCCCTGTGTTTACCTCTCGTCAGTAGCTGGCCCTGACTCCCATTTGATATCTCAAATGGTGGTAGGTTTTGCAGGCATGCTAATGTTCCTGTGCTGGTCCCTGGCCAGTTTGCTGTCAACTCCGTCCCCTGCTTTGCTTTGGATGGCAGAGGGCAGACCTCTGCAGGCCACATTTCTCAAGCTCTGGTGTCAGCTAGCCTCTGGCTGGTGTCGGACGATAGAAATTCCGGCAAGACTGGAGAGCAGGAGGAGAGGAGAAGCCAGGGAGTTCCTCTCTCTCTGCCCTGGTTGGCGTCGTCTTCGTTAATCCTGTTTCAGCTTCTGCAGCTGTCCTCGGCCTCTGGGCTCTGTTAACTCCGCTTCCTCCCTTCGTTCTTTCAGTCTAGAGGTGCTGGGGCTGTCCCGCTCTTCTGAATTCGGGGGTGGTCTCGCTGTCCTCTTGGCTTCTCACTCATTTTAAATGCTTAAGAGTATTTGTTAGAAGAACAGCTGGGAATGATGGTTTTTCACACTCTGGAAGTTTGTTGTATGGATTTCCAAGTTCTAGCTACTAGGACTTTTTCTTGATTCCTTTTCTGCAGAAAGCACTCATTTCTAAGAAGAGGCTAACTCCTAGGGAATTGAGAGGGATCAGGTGGCCTGAGCACCTGATATTGGGGTTTTTTAAGGGTAAATTGCCTGGTTGGCACATGTGAGCTCTAGGTATAGTTGCTTATGGAACTGTGGAAGGATTAAATCAAGTTATGGTGATAGAAAGAAAGGAATAGGAATTTTAGGACTAAAAAGGATAGTTCAGAGTTCTTCCAGTGAATATTTTGGATAGTCTTGGTCATAGAGAAATCACAGATAAGAAAGTAGGCATCATATACCTGGAGTGGAGGTATTTGATCTGGACGATGTAAGAGGCCAAGAGGTGAACGAGGCTGGCAGAGGAAGCACCTGGCGTGGTATCTTTTACATGAATAGGCTATAACAGTTTGACAGCAAATGCAATCTGCTGCCTGGGGGAAAGGGACAAGCTTTGCTATTGTGTAATCCTGTCGTAGGTCTTCGCTTTGTTCCCCCTTGACACCAGTGAATCATCTTATAGCACAAAAGTGAGTTCTGCACTTGGTCACTGGGTCTCTGGGAAACCCCGTGTAGAGAAGTGATGGGACCCTCTGCTGTTTCATGGGAGCATTTACTCCAGCGATCCAGACCACGAGTGAAAGAACTATCCTGACTTCAAGATGCAAAAAGGCCTTCCCACAGGCTGTATGCTGGGGCAGACATTGGGTTTTTGTTAATTTTTGGTAGGAATATGAAATATTAAGAAGCTTTAAGATTTTTCAACTTTATTTTCATGGACAGCTTGGGTAACATGTGAGCTAAGAATATCTTTTCATGTTAATTTCATCTGAAAACAAAAATAGAACCGAATAAGTATATTACGTAAATCCAGACTGGTTTTTTTTGCGACTGTCTCTGTATTGGCTTTATTTAAAAATATGGACGGTACCTAACAGAATGTTAATAGGCAGAAACATTGAACTTGTGCCATTTTGGCAGTTCCAACAAAGAAACCAAGTGGTAATTAAGTTTTCCCTTTTCTGGTGGAACAGTTACACAACAGTTACATTATTCTGCCATTGGAGCAGCCCTAGGAGATGTGAAGCACAGCTGGAAGCTGCACCCCATGTTGTCCATGGAAGTACCACAGAACTTTCTAGCAATCCAGCACAAATCCGCAACATAGGGTTGTTGTGGGTTTTTTTGGCTTTTGAAAATTAAAAAGAAAAAGAAAAACTGTGAAGCTTAATAGTTAATGTAGGGGAATGTTTTTCGTCTATGGATTAAGCAATACTGAAGAGAAAGCAGTATCCTAAAGGGTGTTTGTTTTAATCAGGATTCTTGGCTACCAGGGACTGAAACCCAGCGCAGATCAGCTTAAGCAAAAAAGTAGGTTTTGTTTGTTTTTATAGATCTTAGCGTAACTCACAGAATCAGAGGAAATATAGGAACCAGGGCCTCTGGGATTTGGACCAGGTCCTTGAAGCACGTCAGTATCCCCAGTCTCTGTCCACCTCCCATTTCTGCTTCTCTCTATGTTCCAGCTTTATTTTCTCAGACGTCTCCACCAGGTAGAAGGCAGGGCTGCCTGGAGTCCTGGTCTCATATCCTTGTTTCTCCTGACGAAGGAGAAAAGAGAGAAGAGAATGTGCTGTCGTCATCCCAGTCCATGTTGCACTGCCCCCTCGACCCCCAGACTCCCACCAGCTCCAGACAACAGACAGGCCTGGAGAAGGATTCAGGCACGTGCCTCCCTCTTAGCCAGAGGGATAGGTCTTGCGACTGGCGGTCTGCAGCAGGACTGTATGAAGTTGGAGGAAGAGCAGTTTCCCGAAAGAAGGGGAGGATGCTGTTTAGAAGGATGAAACTCTTTGGGTCTGCCACATTTAGCAAGAGGAAAAGAGACCTCAGGTCCAAAATATCAACTGGCTTTGGTTATGTCTAGTCAGGTTCCTAAAACTACATAGAATAGATATTCCCAGGGAATGTTAGAATTTTTTGAAAAGACATACACACACACATGTCTTACATATTTTGTATAGATGTCCGTGATATGTTAAATGAAAACAAAAAGCAGGTCATAAAATAGTATATAACAGGTTCTATTTCCATAAAATAAACCAGCCCTATATATGTGTTCATATGTTTGTATATCTGTGTTTGAGTGAGGAGAAAGGTATGGAAGGATACAAAGGCTGGTGTTGGTGGTTACATCAAGGAGTTGAGAGTAGGGATTGGCGGGGGGCGGGGAGAATCAGCTTTGCCTTTATATATAATGTATTGTATCATTTCACTTGTTAAAATCTGCTTGTGTTGTGTTCGTAATTTGAGAAACATCCAATAAAGGAAAAAGAAGAGGAGCCTATTCAGGCTGACCTCAGGCGGGGTGTGGGTGCAGGGCCTGAAGGTAGAGAGCTTGGGAGTCCTGTCTTCTTAGGCTGGAAATCCAGGGCTTCCCAGATCTCCCACATTCCCAAGCCTGGGAAGCACAGCAGAGGACGTGGCAAACCAGCCTGTCTTGGAACAACAGCAAGCTGGAGAGATCCACAGTACTGTTTGTTCACCAAGCCTATATCCCTTCCAGAAAGCAGATCTGAGTGGGTCAGACCCACCACCACCCCTAATATGGCAAAATCTACCAGGCAGTGTCCTTGCCCAGGGCAGTCAGAGGCAGGGCCCTCCTGCCCAGCACTCCCGTGGCTGCCGTGGCTCAGGGACGGCCCCTGGCCGAAGCAGCTGTGGCAAGAACGGCTGGGCTGCTTGAAGTGAAGCACCTGATGTGAGCTTGACTTATGTGGGAAAGAAGAACTGCCGGGCCCCTTTTATGGAAAAGAGGGCCAAGTAGCTGGCTGGCCTGTTAAGTCTCATGGTCTGTTCAGTTTGGTTAAGGACTTCCCATGCCTGCTACAGAGTCTTGTCATAAGTAACCCACCCCTAGCAATGTACGTGGATGAGGACATGTGTGAGGTCAAGGTGTCCCCCTACCTGTTATCAGAGAGCCGCCATAATAAATGCGGTTGAAGAGACGTGGGCTGAAATCTTGATAAGGGAACTGATGATGTGCGATGTCGTGAGGTGCTGAAGATCAAGCAGATGACAGCAGCTCCACAGCAGCCAGCACTGCTATTTATTGGCTGCCTGTACTGTGCTGGGCACCATGCTGGGCGCACCACAGGCATCCTGGCGCTTGATTCTCAACAATCCATGGTGGCTGCTCTCAGTCACGATTAATAGCTGAGACTCAGAGTAAGTAATGTACTCAGGTCCCACTGTCAGTGAATGGCGGGCTTGGGTTTAGGACGTTTCCTCTCAAACCGCACAGCCTCCTGAAGAGTAAGCCTTTGTTAGCATTTCCCACTCACTAGCCTAAGGAGTCAGAGTGGTTCTGATTTTAGATGCAAGGTCTTTGTTCTTGAGATGGAATTTTTCCATCAGACTACTAAAATCCAATAAGAAAATATGGAAGGGTGTCTTTAAGACAAGTGGCTCCAAGCACTGGGAGGGGCATGCCTGTTATCTTACTGCTACCTTACTGGCTTAAGGTAGTTGCTTCTGGTGTGACCTAGCTAGGCTGCTAACTCTTGCTGGCCACAGTTGCTTATTCTGTCAAATTAAAGGGGTGGAGGAGGAGGACGTATCTCAAAAGCCTCTTTGAGCTCTAAAATCTTAGGATTCCCTGTTCTTCAGAGAATGGAAATATCTATCAGATGATTTGAAATGGCTGTTGCACACTTGAAAGGTGGCTAGTGCAACTGAGGAACTGAATTTTTAATTTTAGTTAAAGTTTAAATTTATATAACCATATGTGGCTAGTGGCTACTGTATTGGACAGCACAGCTCCTTAATTGGAAAATACTAACATGAGATGAGCATTTTAAATGCCTATACATTTTTATATACACATATTTTTAAAATTGAAAGAAACTTTTTATAATTTCAGAAAAACAGCTCGGGTTCATTACAGACAATATAGACAAGAAAAAGAAGAAAGTAAAAGGTAGTCCAAAACCACCTACTCAGAGATAACTGCTGTTGGCACCTTAGTGTCTAACCTTCTGAATTTTCTTCTATGCTTATGTCATAGGTAGCCAGCTGGCTTTCAAAAGCGTAGTATAGAATCATCCAGAAAGGGATAAGACGTTAGTAGGGGAGAATGCCTGTTTGTTGCCCAGAAGAGAGTACTGAGACAGGTTTTAGCAATCTGCCGGGGCTGATGTTTCTCTTCTGGGTGCTAGGTCATCAACCCCATGGGCTGGGATGCTTTTGGACTGCCTGCCGAAAATGCTGCCATTGAGAGGAATCTTCATCCAGAAAGTTGGACGCAAAGGTATGTATTTATAGGCATATTCAAGCACTAATATACAGAAACTTAAAAAAATTTTTTAAATCTGTGCATGAGAAATAGAAAGCAAAGCAAACAAAACATTGCAGGCTGCCAAGCGATAAGGAGAATTGTATCTATTGATGTTTATCTTTTAGTGTGCTGTGTTCTTTTTTTAAAGATTTTATTTTCCTTTTTCTCCCCAAAGCCCCCCAGTACACAGTTGTGTATTTTTAGTTGTAGGTCCTTCTAGTTGTGGCATGTGGGACGCCGCCTCAGCATGGCCCGATGAGCGGTGCCGTGGCCATGCCCAAAATCCGAACCGGAGAAACCCTGGGCTGCTGCAGTGGAGCACTCGAACTTAACCACTCAGCCAGGGGCCACCCCCTAGTGTGCTGTATTGTTATCTAAGAAATCTCAAAGAGGGTTTTGGGTATCGATTCATGTGTTCATTTTGATGCTTTGTTATTTACAAAGTTATTCTTCCATTGAGTATTTGCATTTGGAAGGGAGAAGGAGGAGAGGGTTGCATTTGTTAAATTTCTACAGTACCTCTCATCTTCTTGATGATAGTTTGAGCTATATCCAAATTCCACATTATAATTTTCTCTGAAGACTCTGTTAATGTTTTGCCTTCACTATTTGGAAGCAAGAAGAACTTAGACATTCAACACAAAAATATATGGCCAGTTTTTTCTGGGTGTGCTTTCCTCCGAGGGGGAAGCACTCTCAGTCCCACCTGTGCCTCAGGCTTCCATGTACAGTCAGGCGCCGTATAACAATGTTTCAGTCAACAACAGACTGCATATACGATGGTGGTCCCATAAGATTAGTACCATGTAGCCTAGGTGTGTAGTAGGCTATACCGCCTAGGTTTGTGTAAGTATACTCTATGGTGTTCACACGACAAAATCGCCAAATAGACGCCTTTCTCAAAACGCATCCCCGTTGTTAAGTAACGCGTGACTGTACTTATGGGCCAGCAGTGCCCATCCCTCTCCCTCCTGATGAAGTCTTGAGGCCCTCATATCAGAACCCAGCAGAATGTTCTGGGCTCACTCCATCAGCCCCTTTCACAAAGGTCTGGGGCCTTTCCTTACCTCACCCCTCAGACATGTAGAAGGGCAGTTCCAGGCCTGTCCCCTTTGTCCTTCAGCTCCCTTTGCTTTATCTTGGCCAACGCTACATTGTATAAACATCTACTGTAACATCCACTTCTCTTTTTTCTTCCTAACCCCTAGTTTCTACTTTTTCAGTTATGGTTAATTCTAGGTTAATGGGAGTGATGAAAAAAGGAGGAAATGATGATCAAATAAAATGGATCAAATATGGCATAAATTTGATGTAAGCTAGACCAGAGATTGGCAAATTATGGCCCATGGCTAAATTTGGCCCTGTTTGATTCTGTAAATAAAGTTTTATTGGAACACAGGCACACCCATTTGTTTACATATTGTCCATGACTGCTTTTGTGATAGAGTGGCTGCTTTCATGATACAGAGTTGAGTAATTGTGACAGAAACCATATGGCTCACCAAGCTGAAAACATTTACCATCTGGCCCTTTACAGAAAAAGTTTGCCAACCTCTCCACTGGAGAATAGCAGTTAAGAGGATAGCCCCTGAATCAGACCACCGAGGTGCAAATCCTGCCTTTCCTTCTTGCCAGCTTATCACCTTGAGCAAATTACTTGATGTCTCTGTGCCTCAGTTTATTTATCTGTAAAAGAGGGGTAGTCGTAGGTCCTGCTTCATGTGAATGGTTAAAGATTAAGCACTGTCTTAGTCAGCTGCTATAAAAAAATACCCTAGTCTGGTTGGCTTAGGTACAACAGAAATTTATTTCTCGCGGTTCTAGAGGCTGGGGAGTCTCAGATTGAAGCGCCTGCAGATTTGGTGTCTGGTGAGGACCTGCTTCCTGGTTCATAGATGGCCATCTCTCTGTGTCCTCACATGCCAGCAGGGGCAGGGGAGCCCTCCGGGATCTCTTTTATAAAGGCACTAATCCCATCCATGAAGGCTCTGCCCTGTTGACCTTGTCACTTCCCAAAGGCCCCACTTCCAAATACCATCACATTGGAGATTAGGTTTCAGCATATGAATTTTGAGGGGACACAAATGTTCAGACTATAGAAAGCACTTTTCTGCAAAATGCTTAGCACAAGGCCTGGAATAAAATAAGCTATTGTTAGCTATTCAGAGATTACCTAGAGAATTTTTTCATGGCTTTTCGTATTTTCAGTCTGCTTCAACTGAGAGGATGCAGTAGAAATGAATTAGTCCTTTTTCTTTAATGAAAAGAGAAGAAAAAAGGCTGTATTTCCTTATTTCATATTATATTGAAGTTGATTAATTCACTTCTCTCCCTTTTTCCCAATTGTTGTACAGTTTTAGATTTTACGTTTTGATTGACAAAGCAGATTTCTTTTGGATTTCTACAATTTGTGTGTTAAGGTCTTTTCTCTTCAGTCGACTTTAAACTTGTCAATGCTTGGCTTAAATTTGTGCGAAATACAGATATGTGGTTGGGCCCGGAGTGCACATATCAAAGGGGCTGCCTATCTGAATGGCCAGAGGAATGGCCACGCCTCAGGGCTGGTGTGGTTTCTAGTAGATTCTGTATTAGTCCCTAGAATAGGTGTCTTCTAATATGCTGATATTTTCGTTGATTCTTAGTGATTAATTTTTTTTGCCAGGACAAAACAACACTTAAAGCCCTTTTGAATAATCCAGACTTTTACAGTTTCCCTTCATATTCTCAAAGTGTCGTTTTTTTATGGCTTTTCCCTCCTCTAAAAACCGAACTCTCTTCCCTTTGTTTCACAGTAATATTAAACACATGAGGAAACAGCTTGATCGACTGGGCCTGTGCTTCAGCTGGGATAGGGTGAGTCTGCCTTTTTCTGGAAGGTCTTCATTTTAATGAAGGTCCTGATTGCACACTTACTCCACGTTCCTTCTCTTGGGTTGGGATAAGGGAAGGGAGGGAGGCAGAAAACAGGAGGGCAGGATGAGCATTCCAGAAACAATTTGCCTGAAAATGAGTAATTTTCTGTGGGATTAAGCTAAAAGAGTGAACTTCTTATTTAACTTCACAGTTGGCAATGATTTATGTGTGGACAAAGCTTTGCACAAGGATTTCTCCTGTTCTCAGCAATAGTTTAAAAAGAAAGACTGTTAGAATCTATCTAAAAGTGATTAAATGTCAACCCATTTGGTCCGTTTAGGTAATTAGGTGTTAAGTTGATTGACCATTTATTTACCTTTTGTTCCAAGTATGAAGTTGACAGCCCATAATGAGTTTTCACAGATAGCCATTCGTATAAAATGCTTTCAAACTGTATTAAACCAGTGGAGAATTCCAGACCTGGGAAGAGTTCACTGAAGACCACCTGGATGTTAGGAACACTCACGCTAAATATGAACTGAGCCCTTCAAAGCTCTGGCCAAAGGCCCACTCCTTAGACATTGATGAGTGATCTGTTAGGTAAGGTAGACTCCTGCTTGTCCCCTCCACGAAGGGCCCTTCCAATGTCATAAGCCCTCTTGGCATCCCGTTTACTCCACAGAATGATTGAAGTTTTCATTGCTGGGCCTGTCAAGTTCAAATTCACATCGTTTTACTCATGAAAAGCAACTGGAACAAATCCAAATGAGATTTCCTTCTCTTCCTCCCCCAACCGTTTTGTAAATGATTGAGATTTGATGAGTACAGTGAAAAAGTGCAAAAGGCAAACACATTTGAACAGTCCTTGATTTTTTCTTTTTTTTGGTATCTCCTTTAGGTAAGATCATGAGCTGAATCAAGTTCTAATTGCACCACTGATGCCATTTTTACCACTGACTTGCAAGGTCGCCAGTGTTTCATTTGGTGGAGGTGTGAAAAGTCCTGGCACCTGGGACAAGGGGCAGTAAGGAATTGCTGATAGAGAATGAAATGCTGTCTAATGCAGAGAGAACTAAGTAATGTCCAAAGCTCTCTAGAGATGAAATGACAGATTCCTTGAGGGCAAAGATGGACTTGTTAACCCTCTAGGATGATAACTAGCCTAGTCCTGCACAGGAATGTCAACCATCAATGGTTCAAAAAATTAATGGATTATTTTCCTTATCATCATAGAAGATTAGAAAGTACCAAAAAGTGTAAAGAAGAGCATAAGTCAGTGTGGCTGATTTAACATCCTTATATGGTTCCTTGCCGTCTTTTATTTTGGAATCATAAATATCTATGTAATTTACTTTTCTAAAACTTAATTCATATACGTATTTCTTAATCTTGCTTTTTTTTACCCACTATTCATGAAAATTTTCCCATTTTATTAAGTATTCTTTGAAAAAGTGACTTTTGATGGCTGTATAGTTTTCCGTCTTATGAATATATCATTACTTATGTATCCTTTCCCTTACTATCATACATTTAGATAGGTTTATCTGAGGTCTTTCTATTATAAACACGGGTTCTCAATCCCTCCTGTGCAGATCTGGAGTTCAGAAACTCTAAAAACTGAAAGCTTTTTCATAACTCACTTGACTGTGAAACCTGACCTGAACTGATGTTTATCTCCCTAGGAATGAATGTCATATATTTCACTATAGGAATCGTAGTATAATTGACTACCAGATACTCTCCCAGACCTAGCTGAGTGAATACGCTATTATCTTTTAGTATCCAAAAATGTCAATTCTGAATCACATTCGACTGCAGGCATTTGAGATAAAGGATTTTGAACCTACAGTGCAATGTTGTAGATAAATGTCACAGTGTTGCTACCACTGTCTAATAGTTACTGAGCACTTACTGTGGGCCAGGCCCCTATAATTATCTCTTTGGATCCCTAGATCCAAATGTAAGTACTTTTATTGACATCATTTTATTGCTGGTTACCCAAGTGGCAGGGCTGGGCTAATCCACTGGCCAGTTTGACTGCTATGTTTATCCCCCATACCTGGGGCAGAAATCTTGGTACACATATTTTATTATTTAATATGAATTCTTAAAAAAAGCCATGAACAAGTTTAAGGCTTATGGTACTTAAAGGATACTTAAAGGTATAACTTGGCTTATGGTCCTTAAAGGAGTAAAGACTATGCAAATCCTCACTCCCAAGTTGTTACATGGGTGTTTTCACCTGTGTTTCTTTCCTCATTGGTGATAGTGAGCTTGTTTCATGTGTTTAATGACTGACTGAATTGGGTGGGTGTGTGTGAATGACCTAAATCATTTAGGCTTTTGCTCATTTAGGTAGGGAGTGCTTGTCCTTTTCTTAATGATTTTTATTTTGTTACAAATACTTTTCCTCGATTCGTCATTTGCTTTTCATTTTGTGGATAGTGGGATTATGGTCAGCACACAGAGTACTTGGAAAGATCTGCTGTGAGATAGATGAATACATTCATATTTTCTTCCCAGTCTTTTATGGTTTAATTTTTACATTTAGCTCAGCTGGATTTATTTTACTGTATAAGATAAGGAGTTACTACTTTTTCTAAATAACCAATTGTCGCTGGCTTTTATTTTTAAACAGTCCTTTCCTCATTGATTGAAAAGGCTACCTAACTATAACCTAGTTCTTTTATACTATTATGCCTAAGTTCTGTTTCTGTCCATTTCATCCATTTACAATACCATTATTAAACTATTTTTAATTACTATTGCTTTATAATTGGTTTAAAACCTGGTAACGGAGCTTTCCTCTTATTGTCTCATGTTAAGCATGCCATCCCTACTATCTTGTGTTTCTGTTTTTTTGATATATTTTGCCCATTTTCGTAAACTTTTAGCCTTTATTTGTTGAATTCTTTTGGTATATCACTTGTGGATGCAGTTAATTAAAAAATTTAAAAGATGGGCAAATCACTGGGGGGATGGGGGTTTATTTTTTTTTCTTAAGGATTGGCACCTGAGCTAACATCTATTGCCAATCTTCTTCTTTTTCTTTTTTTTCTTCTTCTTCTCCCCAAAGCCTCTCAAGTACATAGTTGTATATTCTAGTCGTAGTTCCCTCTAGTCGTGCTATGTGGGACGCCACCTCGGCATGGCCTGATGAGCGGTGCCATGTCCGCGCCCAGGATCTGGACTGGTGAAACCCCAGGCCACTGAACGGAGTGGGCGAACTTAACCACTGGGCCATGGGGCCAGCCCCTAGACTTTTTAAAACATAGTTTTAGCTGTCCTTTTCTTCCATGGTGTCTTGCATTTTGAATTTTGCTTTCTTTAAGCCTCTAGAGGCTTAAACAAATATCAATTCTATTTTTTATTCTGCTAAAAGATAGCTTTAAGAGTTTTAAAAAAACATATTTAGTATCAACGTAAAAAATTATATATTTTTTGTTCCCCATGTAAAATAAGGAAGTTAGCAGACAGTTACACTTCCCACTTTCTAAACCTATTTTTCAGAGGTGTTTTTTTAATATACATGTATATATGTATACATGTATATATATTATGAGATTTTAGGCCTAGTTTATTCGTATATTGTAATTTTTCTGATCATGTGTCATTTCTTCAACAGCTTCTAGTTTTAAAATCACATTCCTAACAATTGTGTAAGTTGATGCTCCTTAACTAGTTTCACTGCTCATCAGTAGACCTTTTAGAACATGACTGCCAGTTTTTAAAATTTTGATTTGTGAAAATTTTAAATCATGCTTTTTCTGACATCATACATTATTTTCATAACTGAGAATGACTTTCCATTGCTTTCACCTGTGAACAGCAATTTACTGAGGTTTGGAATTCTTTTTGCTTTCAAATCTCTGTAGTAGACTTGATCCCTGATCTATGTCTCTCTCTTTTTTTAAATGATTATAGACTCACAGGAAGTCACCAAGATAGTATAGAGAGATCCTATGTGCCCTTCACCCAGCTTCCCCCAATTATAACATTTTATATAACTACAATGTAATATGAACACCAGGAAATTGATGCTGGTACAGTACTATTAGCTACAGTACAAATCTTGTTCAAATTTTTACCAATTTTCACATGCAGTTACGTGTGTGTGTGTGTGTGTGTGTGTAGTAATAGTAGGTCTTTGCAACTTAATCACATGTATAGATTTATGCAACCACCACTACCTGATCTGTTAGTTTTAGTGGAGAAGTCTGAGACCATCCCAAACTGTCTTTGTACGTGTAGTAATAATCTTTATACCCCCATTTTGATGCTTGTGGATTCTTTCTGTCTCTGCCCTTGCCATTTAAAATTTTCATCAGAGTGTATCTCAGTGTCACTCCTTTCCCTTTAATTTTGCCTGGTGCTTAGTGACCGCTCTGATCCGCACTTGTGGGTCTTTCCTTGTGGCAGTTTTTAGGCTCTCTCTCAAGAACACTGCCCGTTGGCGTGTGCTCTCTTCACTGTCCTCCATTGTTGTCACCGCCTCCCTCGTGATTTTGGTCTCTTTGTTCTTCTCTGCCTTTTGGAAGAACTTCTCAAGTTTGCTTTCCACATCACTGCTTCTGTTTCTGTTGAATCACTGCTGCTTTGTATGGTTTCTAATGCAGATGTTAATTTCGCCATTGTATTTTTAGATTTATTCTTATTTTTCCTTATCTCATTCAGTTCCCATTTTCTTTCTCAAGCCTCTTGGCTAGATGCTTTTCTTCCTTTTTCTTTTGCTATTTTATCTCATCTTCACAGACCATATATGTTCAGAAATTTTCTTGAGAATACAAAGAGATGCTCTTGAAAAATGATTTTTGCTTCCTGTGATAAACCTTTTTACAAGTTTGGAATGCTCTGTTCTCCTTATTTGTTTAAGGACCTTTTCATAGACACTATGTGGATTTTTTCCCCTGATTCCTGAGTGAGGTAGACTAGTATATCAATGTAGAGATATATTAGCCCGAGGGGAATGGAGTGGAAGCTCGTAGTCTCCGCGTCATTTC